TGGTTCATATATGTCCAAGGTTCCTCTGAGGGCAGTTGGTTCATATATGTCCAAGGTTCCTCTGAGGGCAGTTGGTTCATATATGTCCAAGAACCCTCTGAGGGCCGTTGGTTCATATATGTCCAAGGTTCCTCTGAGGGCAGTTGGTTCATATATGTCCAAGAACCCTCTGAGGGCCGTTGGTTCATATATGTCCAAGGTTCCTCTGAGGGCAGTTGGTTCATATATGTCCAAGGTTCCTCTGAGGGCAGTTGGTTCATATATGTCCAAGGTTCCTCTGACGTCATTTGGTTCATATGTGTCCAAGGTTCCTCCGAGGGCAGTTGGTTCATATGTGTCCAAGGTTCCTCCGAGGGCAGTTGGTTCATATGTGTCCAAGGTTCCTCCGAGGGCAGTTGGTTCATATGTGTCCAAGGTTCCTCCGAGGGCAGTTGGTTCATATATGTCCAAGGTTCCTCCGAGGGCAGTTGGTTCATATGTGTCCAAGGTTCCTCCGAGGGCAGTTGGTTCATATATGTCCAAGGTTCCTCCGAGGGCAGTTGGTTCATATATGTCCAAGGTTCCTCCGAGGGCAGTTGGTTCATATATGTCCAAGGTTCCTCCGAGGGCAGTTGGTTCATATATGTCCAAGGTTCCTCCGAGGGCAGTTGGTTCATATATGTCCAAGGTTCCTCCGAGGGCAGTTGGTTCATATATGTCCAAGGTTCCTCTCTGGTTCCTCTGAGGGCAGTTGGTTCATATATGTCCAAGGTTCCTCCGAGGGCAGTTGGTTCATATATGTCCAAGTACCCTCTGAGGGTTGTAGCATCATACATATCCAGTCACCCTCCAAGGGCAAGTGAGGTCATACACATCCAAACACCTTGCAAAGTATGATTCTTGGGGAACCAGTTTAGAACACTGCTGAGTTTTATTTCTATACTATAGTCCAGCTGAATGCAGCAGTGGTAATCTGTGTATCAGATTTAATTTTTAAATATTTCCCTTTAGTTTGGGTTACTTTTTAAACCTGATTTCTGGAAAACTGAAATTCTCTCCATTCAGTAGAGGGTTGCGCTTACACTGCTTGTTAAGTCTAGGGGACGGGAAAGACTGGCGTACCCAATCCTCTTCTCCAGCAGTGCTCTGTTCCTTGGCATCCTCACATCCAGTGCAAGGGTGTGTGGCCATGCATCAGTCCTGATGACCTCATGCAGGAGAGAAGAGGCTGCAGGAAACAGTTTGAAGGATCATGTAAGTAAAACTGGTTTCCATGGTCCCCTCGGCATAAACAGACAGTTAATCCTTGCAATGCGGGTGCAGCCCGACTGTAAGGGAGGACTTTTCAGTTTTCCATAGTTCAGCTTTATTGTCCATTAGATGTATCCTATTTTTTTAATCCATTTAAAGCCCAACTCCTTGTTTTGTTGATTATTCTGCCAGGTTTTTATCTACATTTGTGACCCCATTGGGGAGACCCCCCCTCATTTATGTGCATGGGACTCCTGTTCAAGATATAGGGGAGTGCTTGTTATCCATTACACATAATAGACCAAATGTCCTCTGACCACCCCAGTGAAGATTGTGGTAAAGGGAACCTGTCAGATTTTTGCATGCCTGTCTAAAGCTCCAAAACTATCACTGAAGGATGTCCTTTCCGACTTGTGTGAGCATTTCCTGTTCCAGGGCATTGCCCACCTTGGCAGCCAGGTCACAAGAAGTGCTACTGCTAGGAAGGCGGCGGCCTTAGGTGATGGATCTGGGGCTTTACCTCAAGCAGGTAAGAGAGGGTGACAGGCTCTCTTCATAAGAGATGTATTGACACATTGATCTGATGGTGTAACCACTACTACTTATTGTATCAGGGACGGATCCTTAGGACAGGAGAAGGTAAGTGAGATCTCACCTTGTTGACAGAGCCACCATCCTGTCTGCCATGACACAATCGTTCATGTGTCCCCGACATGCGTGTCACTCCCATTCTTGTTGTGGTATGGGCTCATTTTGTTGTGTATCCTGCATGGAGTCTTCAGATCAACGTAAGACTTGTGCCCCCCCCCCCGGCTGTGATCCTTGCCTCCGTAGGGCATTGAGATATTATGCCGTCCAACCTTAACCTGGTCAAGGAGGCAAATGACAGACAAAGGGGGATTGTGGTCTTGTAAAGGTTAAGGAATATTATTTCTATCCTGTTTGTACTGGAAACACACATCAGCGTGCTCATTGGTCTGAATGAAGCCCACATGTATCTGTGTTTCCTGCATGTGGCTGTGCTTGTCTCCATTCTTGTCCTCATGCCATGCTGGGGATTCTGCAGCGGTTTCTGTGAGGTTCCTGGTTGTGGTCACTAGACTAAGGGCAGAAGTAGCGGACATGCTGAGGTCCCCTAATTTCAGTCTGTAGTGATATCCGCATGCAGCATGTCTATTTTGTGGTTAGTGAATAGACAGGGTCTGACAGGAGAAGCTGTTCAGTGAGATCATGTACAACGTGTCTGCCCAGTCCATGTTCGGATTAATATTAAAAGCCACTCGCACCACAGCACATGTTATACCGTATGTCATGGCAATGCCCTCTTGCAGTGCGTTGTCATTTGCACCTCAATGCATAGTCACAGTGCACTGCAACACACTGACACTACTGCACATCACAGTGCTTTGTGTTATCATGCACTCTATTAAAAAAAAAAAGTAATCCACGGTGACAACTCACTTCATTGTGACGTGAATGAGCCCTAAAACTGATTTCCTGGAATTTATCAACTTTTGCAAAACGTGAAGGCACACTATGAGTTAAGTCCAATTATGTGGGGGGCCGAGTGGTGGGGGCAGCACAGGGGCCGAGTGGTGGGGGGCAGCACAGGGGCCGAGTGGTGAGGGCAGCACAGGGGCGGACTGGTGGGGCAGCGCAGGGGCGGACTGGTGAGGCAGCACAGGGGCGGACTGGTGAGGCAGCACAGGGGCGGACTGGTGAGGCAGCACAGGGGCGGACTGGTGAGGCAGCACAGGGGCGGACTGGTGAGGCAGCACAGGGGCGGACTGGTGAGGCAGCACAGGGGCGGACTGGTGAGGCAGCACAGGGGCGGACTGGGTGAGGCAGCACAGGGGCCGAGTGGTGAGGCAGCACAGGGGCGGACTGGTGAGGCAGCACAGGGGCGGACTGATGAGGCAGCACAGGGGCCGAGTGGTGGGGGCAGCACAGGGGCGGAGTGGTGAGGGCAGCACAGGGGCGGAGTGGTGAGGGCAGCACAGGGGCGGAGTGGTGAGGGCAGCACAGGGGCGGACTGGTGAGGCAGCACAGGGGCGGAGTGGTGGTGGGGGCAGCACAGGGGCGGGTGGTGGTGGGGGCAGCACAGGGGCCGGGTGGTGGTGGGGGCAGCACAGGGGCCGGGTGGTGGTGGGGGCAGCACAAAGGCAAAGGGGTTAGCACTTCTCTAGCAGCACTAGGGTGGTCGGTTTGAATCCCAATCACGAAACTACTGAGTTTGCATGTTCTCCCTGTGCCTGTGTGGGTGTCCTGCGGGTACTCTGGTTTCCTCCCACACTCCAAAGACATGCTGATAGGTTAATTGGCTCTGTGAGGGAGGGACTGATGTGAATGCACAATATATGTGTGTAAATCGCATTACCTATAATAATACTAACGTCACCTGGTCACAGAGCAGCTATGCCCCGCCCCTTCTGCTGCCCATTCACAGAAGCTTTTGTATTTAGTATGAGTTCACATAATACAAAGCCTTCTGTGAATGGGCAGAAGAAGGGGAGAGGCAGGCACAGCAGTTCCAGCGACTCTGCTCTTGAAGGAGTCCACAGTAGCAGCCTTGGAGCTCTGGAAGTTTGTAGAGATAGGTCTACGAGGTGGCCGGCACCTCATTAGATGTCACTCACGGTGTGCCTGCAGTTTTTACAATGAAGCTGAATTCCTGGATTTCAGCTTTAAAGCACCGATGTGACTATCAGCAGTGCCCCAAATTCCTTGCAGCCGTTATAAAGTCTATTTACTTAGAAGGCATATCACTCCCCCTTGGTTTTCCACTGCTACATACTCAGCAAGAATAGGATGTAGTTTTTGTGGTCTGTAGCCCTGTGAGCTCTGTTGGCGTGGGCCGATTCTCTGCAATGCCCATAGCGTTGGAGGTAGACTAGTTCCTAGTGTTTTCTGGCCTCATTGTGGACATGTGTCACTTGTGAGCGGGAGTCATTCATCTCCATTCATTGTAAAGGTGTATGCCGCATCTCCCTGTGTTCTCGGAGGAACCATTGCCTCCTTACCCCACCCCCTCCCCAGCGATTTGCCATCCATGCCAGCTGTGGCCTTTATAATATGTAGCTGTGACAGGCAGGATGACTTCTGTGCAATGACCTGTGTTGTGTCGTTGTGTTGTGAATGTGTTCTAGGTTCTATATTGGCTGTGAGCTTTGTGCTAACTGGTATCACGGAGATTGTGTTGGCATCACAGAGGCGGAAGCCAAGAAAGTGGATGTGTACATCTGTAATGAGTGTAAACGGTCACAAGAGGGCAGCAGTGAGGAGTTGTATTGTATCTGCAGGACGCCCTATGACGATTCACAGTGAGTTCCGGTGATAACTTCTTATGCACTAACTAGTCAGCGCTCGCTGGTCCTGTGCGGTAGATGCTTTGTCTCGTGCCTTACCTTATTAACCTGGCCAGAGCATGCTCTCACCCCTTTCCTGCCAGCGGGCACAGGCCTGCCAACCCCGGCTCCCCCTGGTAGTAAAGGACCTTCCTTTGTATATGATGCATGGTTTCTGGACTGATAACTTCTGAGCATCATATCTAGAATCTGCTTCCTGTCTGGGAAACGAGCTATGGAACGGCTTCCACCTTCGGGGGGCTTTGGTGGCCTCTGCTGTTTGGCTACATGTACTGCAGCTCTAGATGTATCCAGCTTTTGTGTAGGGAGCACTGTACCTGCACCTATTAGATGCTCCTTAGATATCACACCGCCTGTACTGCCTATGTGTAGCTCTCATTCCGCCTGCCCCGTCTGACCCATTTTATGTTTGGTGTGCGCAGATTTTATATTGGCTGTGATCGCTGCCAGAACTGGTTCCACGGGCGCTGCGTCGGGATACTGCAGAGCGAGGCCGATCTGATAGATGAGTATGTGTGCCCGCAATGCCAGTCCACCGAGGATGCCATGACTGTGCTGAGCCCTCTGACGGATAAGGACTATGAAGGACTGAAGCGCTTCCTGAGGTCACTGCAGGTAGGTTGGTTAATATGATGGAGACATGGGGCAGGATGGGGACTCCATGACTCACAATGAACACAGAAGCCCTTACCCCCCCCTCCCAGCACACACAATACGATGACTTCTTGTATCGTCCGGATCTTAGTTCCTAGAAGCGGAAGGAAAGGCTTGCTTTCTGTTACCTCTATACAATCCATTGCAGCATCCTAGTGCATTTATATATGTAACGTGGCCTCTCTGTCCATCCTGACCGGCTAGGAGGGGCTGAAGCTCAATAGAGCGCTCATGAATGAGGATGGCATCACAGATGGTGCTGGACTGGGAGGGATGGGGGCAGAGCAGGATGGACAGGGCGGGGCCAGGTGGGACAAGGGCAGAGCTGGATGCAGTGGGGATGGGACAAGGGTGGAGCCACATGGGGTGGGGGGGCGGGGGGCTGCTCAGAGGTGTGATTCATACACAGACAATGGTTGCTGGATCAAAGATTATGGATTAGAAGCATTCTTATGCCTCTCTGTCCATCCTGACCGCTAGGAGGGGCTGAAGCTCAATAGACCGCTCATGAATGAGGATGGCATCACAGATGGTGTTGGACTGGGAGGGATGGGGGCAGAGCAGGTCATACAGGGTGGGGCCAGGTGGGACATGGGCAGAACTGAATGGCGTGGGGATGGGACAAGGGTGGAGCCACATGGGGTGGGGGGGCAGGGCTGCTCGGAGGTGTGATTCATACACAGACACTGACAATGGTTGCTGGATCCAAAGAACAGAGGTATACTGCTCAGGCAAACAATCCAGATCAATCCACGACCGATACAGGCTCTGGGTCACCACCACACACAATGCAATAGGAAGACGGGTCAGCTGCACCCCCGAGGATTGATGAATATAGTGTATATGTATGGATCCATAGGACACACAGGACACCAGGACATGAATACGGGGAGGATAGATGAATATAGTGTATATGTATGGATCCATAGGACACACAACACCAGGACATGAATACGGGACCTGTTAACGCGTTTCACACCATCTCGTGCTTAATCAAAATTATGTCCTGGTGTCCTGTGTGTCCTATGGATCCATACATATACACTATATTCATCTATCCTCCCTGTATTCATGTCCTGGTGTTGTGTGTCCTATGGATCCATACATATACACTATATTCATCTATCCTCCCTGTATTCATGTCCTGGTGTTGTGTGTCCTATGGATCCATACATATACACTATATTCATCTATCCTCCCCGTATTCATGTCCTGGTGTTGTGTGTCCTATGGATCCATACATATACACTATATTCATCTATCCTCCCTGTATTCATGTCCTGGTGTTGTGTGTCTTATGGATCCATACATATACACTATATTCATCTATCCTCCCCGTATTCATGTCCTGGTGTCCTGTGTGTCCTATGGATCAATACATATACACTATATTCATCTATCCTCCCCGTATTCATGTCCTGGTGTTGTGTGTCCTATGGATCCATACATATATACACTATATTCATCTATCCTCCTCCGTATTCATGTCCTGGTGTTGTGTGTCCTATGGATCCATACATATACACTATATTCATCTATCCTCCCTGTATTCATGTCCTGGTGTCCTGTGTGTCCTATGGATCCATACATATACACTATATTTCATCTATCCTCCCCGTATTCATGTCCTGGTGTTGTGTGTCCTATGGATCCATACATATACACTATATTCATCTATCCTCCCTGTATTCATGTCCTGGTGTTGTGTGTCCTGTGGATCCATACATATACACTATATTCATCTATCCTCCCTGTATTCATGTCCTGGTGTCCTGTGTGTCCTATGGATCCATACATATACACTATATTCATCTATCCTCCCTGTATTCATGTCCTGGTGTCCTGTGTGTCCTATGGATCAATACATATACACTATATTCATCTATCCTCCCCGTATTCATGTCCTGGTGTTGTGTGTCCTATGGATCCATACATATACACTATATTCATCTATCCTCCCCGTATTCATGTCCTGGTGTTGTGTGTCCTATGGATCCATACATATACACTATATTCATCTATCCTCCCCGTATTCATGTCCTGGTGTCCTGTGTGTCCTATGGATCCATACATATACACTATATTCATCTATCCTCCCTGTATTCATGTCCCGTGTCTGTTCTCTTTTCCATGGTTCATCCAGCAGACGAGTGTTCCATAGATCTTCCATTAAAGTGATCCTCTGTAATGGGTGGGGGAGGTGGACACGTGGAACCAGTGAGCACAGTGGGCCAACTTCCCTGAAGTGTGGATTGTTCTGCAGACTTCAGAGGAAGATTCCTGTTCTGTGGAGTGGCACAGGTAGCAGGAGCGGTCAAAGTGGTTGTAAACCTCAAACATGAAATCTGAACAAAGCACATATCTCTATAGTGTTAACTTGCCTCTCTCCAACGCACAAGTGTCATTTCTCTTTGGTGTCAGGAAAACTTGTCAGAAGTGATTCATGCTGATAGCAGAGGAACTAGACATAGAGAAATGACACTTGTGCGTTGGAGAGAGGCAAGTTAACACTATAGAATATATGTGCTTTGTTCAGATTCAGCTCTGAGTCTGTGAAAACATTTCATCTCTGAGTTTTACAAGGATGTACAGGACAAATGGCTACAGATAAAAACAGGTACAACCTACGTAGCAGGATTTGTTACACCTCTGTATCACCTAAGGCCAGTCATGTCATTGAGTATAGGTAAGGGTTTACAGCCACTTTAAGGATCTTCTTTCCTCTTTTGCAGCCATTTTTCATACTTGGCTGGTCGCTTTGAAATGTTTCTACCTATAACTCACCTGCTTATTATATAACATAGAGTGCGATCCTACAACAAAATGGCCGCTGTTAGGTTCAGCAGGTCACATGGCCAGTTTCCTAACCTGTTGTCACCATCATTCTTCCTTCTAGACTCATAAAGAAGCCTGGCCCTTTCTGGAGGCTGTTGACCCTGAGGATGCCCCCCGATTACTATGCCGTGATCAAGGAGCCGATGGGTACGTAGTGGAGACTGTCCAATGATTGGTTGCTGCTACAGGTAACTCAGACAGTGTGACGTGTCAGTGCAGGCAGTCCTGCACCTTTCTGTAGTAATAAATGTTCCCTCGGTGTGTAGGGAGCGTGCTCCGTGTAGAAGTGTGTCCCCGTTGTATGCCAGTCTCCTTCCATGGTGTAATCTGAGGTCCGGGTGTGATCAGGACACGGATTGCTGGCCTCATACAATAGATATATTATAGACTCTGCATGCTGAATATGTTTGGAATGGGGTCGGGCGCCAGCGTTGCTCTGTCGTTAGCCATCCTTGTGACTTGAGCCTTGTCTCATGAAATCCAGGTTGCTGGCAGGGGAGCAGACGGAGGTCCTGCCAGGTTTACAGCGCAGTAAAGCCATTGGCTGTTTGTTTGTTGTCTGCCCCGGCTAGCAGTTTATCACAGTCCAGTGGCTCACATCACAGGGGTCGTTCTGAAGGCTGACATTTTATTGCTCTCCCCCCGGATAACAGGAAACACAGGCTTGGAATGTTCCTAACTGCACCGTCAATTAGTGTTTGCTCAGTTGTTCAGCGAGTTGTATTAACCTCGTCACATAGACGTGACTGCTGGCCTCCGGGCCTGGCCTCCGGGCCTGGACTCCGGGCCTGGCCTCCGGGCCTGGACTCCGGGCCTGGACTCCGGGCCTGGACTCCGGGCCTGGACTCCGGGCCTGGACTCCGGGCCTGGACTCCGGGCCTGGACTCCGGGCCTGGACTCCGGGCCTGGACTCCGGGCCTGGCCTCCGGGCCTGGCCTCTCACTGTGGCAGATATCTGAAATCCATCCTTCATAGTCCTGACACTGGCCTAGGTTATCAATGGATCTTTCCAGGAACTCCAACATCTGATTTTTGTAGAACTTGCCGCTGTTTTGGTGCTTAATAATTGAGCTGAAGGTCTTGAGTCAACACTACAACTTGTCTTCATCTGCAAGCAGACTATATACCTTCTTCTTCTTGTTGATGGTCTTCAAGTCCTACCAAGCCTTTCCGTTCCTCAGATATTGATGATCTGTTTCCTGATGACATCACTTGTGTGCGTATACAGATACAGATTAGCATGCAGTCAGGAATTCTGGACGTGGCAAGATTTGAAGAGTGCCTTCCTCGATTGATATCTAATTCTGGCATACTGAGACTCGTTCTGGCAAGTCTGTTAACTTCCTGGAACACCATATGACTAGCAATGTCAGATGGTGTAAGAAGTGCCATCTCCTTTTTTCTTTACTGTACACCAGGGGTGCCAAACCCAGTTTCATTGCAGGCTGCATCAGCATTATGTTTGCCCTCAAAGGGCTGGTTTTATCTGTAAGACTACGTATGCAGAGTTTAGGAGTGCGTTAAGCACAGGTTACAGATTGCAGGCAGGAGTGCTTTACGTACGTGGTGCAGAGTTCAGGGGTACGCTGCGTACAGGGTGCAGAGTTCAGGGGTACGCTGCGTACAGGGTGCAGAGTTCAGGGGTCCGCTGCGTACAGGGTGCAGAGTTCAAGGGTACGCTGCGTACAGGGTGCAGAGTTCAGGGGTACGCTGCGTACAGGGTGCAGAGTTCAGGGGTACGCTGCGTACAAGGTGCAGAGTTCAGGGGTACGCTGCGTACAAGGTGCAGAGTTCAGGGGTCCGCTGCGTACAGGGTGCAGAGTTCAGGGGTCCGCTGCGTACAGGGTGCAGAGTTCAGGGGTACGCTGCGTACAGGGTGCAGAGTTCAGGGGTACGCTGCGTACAGGGTGCAGAGTTCAGAGGTACCCTGCGTACAGGGTGCAGAGTTCAGAGGTACCCTGCGTACAGGGTGCAGAGTTCAGAGGTACCCTGCGTACAGGGTGCAGAGTTCAGGGGTCCGCTGCGTACAGGGTGCAGAGTTCAGGGGTCCGCTGCGTACAGGGTGCAGAGTTCAGAGGTACCCTGCGTACAGGGTGCAGAGTTCAGAGGTACCCTGCGTACAGGGTGCAGAGTTCAGGGGTCGCTGCGTACAGGGTGCAGAGTTCAGGGGTCCGCTGCGTACAGGGTGCAGAGTTCAGAGGTACCTTGCGTAGAGGGTGCAGAGTTCAGGGGTCCGCTGCGTACAGGGTGCAGAGTTCAGGGGTCCGCTGCGTACAGGGTGCAGAGTTCAGGGGAACCCTGCGTACAGGGTGCAGAGATACCCTGCGTACAGGGTGCAGAGTTCAGGGGTCCGCTGCGTACAGGGTGCAGAGTTCAGGGGTCCGCTGCATTGAGGGTGCAGAGTTCAGGGGTCCGCTGCGTACAGGGTGCAGAGTTTCAGGGGTACGCTGCGTACAAGGTGCAGAGTTCAGGGGTACGCTGCGTACAAGGTGCAGAGTTCAGGGGTACCCTGCGTACAGGGTGCAGAGTTCAGGGGTCCGCTGCGTACAGGGTGCAAAGTTCAGGGGTCCGCTGCGTACAGGGTGCAGAGTTCAGGGGTCCGCTGCGTACAGGGTGCAGAGTTCAGGGGTCCGCTGCGTACAGGGTGCAGAGTTCAGGGGTCCGCTGCGTACAGGGTGCAGAGTTCAGGGGTACGCTGCGTACAGGGTGCAGAGTTCAGGGGTCCGCTGCGTACAGGGTGCAGAGTTCAGGGGTCCGCTGCGTACAGGGTGCAGAGTTCAGGGGTCCGCTGCGTACAAGGTGCAGAGTTCAGGGGTCCGCTGCGTACAGGGTGCAGAGTTCAGGGGTCCGCTGCGTACAGGGTGCAGAGTTCAGGGGTCCGCTGCGTACAGGGTGCAGAGTTCAGGGGTCCGCTGCGTACAGGGTGCAGAGTTCAGGGGTCCGCTGCGTACAGGGTGCAGAGTTCAGGGGTCCGCTGCGTACAGGGTGCAGAGTTCAGGGGTCCGCTGCGTACAGGGTGCAGAGTTCAGGGGTCCGCTGCGTACAGGGTGCAGAGTTCAGGGGTCCGCTGCGTACAGGGTGCAGAGTTTAGGGGTACCCTGCGTACAGGGTGCAGAGTTTAGGGGTCCGCTGCGTACAGGGTGCAGAGTTCAGGGGTCCGCTGCGTACAGGGTGCAGAGTTCAGGGGTACGCTGCGTACAGGGTGCAGAGTTCAGGGGTCCGCTGCGTACAGGGTGCAGAGTTCAGGGGTACGCTGCGTACAGGGTGCAGAGTTCAGGGGTACGCTGCATACAAGGTGCATTATTCTCAACGGTTCCACCCAGGATTAAGAGACTTATCCAGATTCTTTCCTACAGTTTCTATTGCCCAGCGGACTGGTCCCTGGACTCCTCATAGGATGTCCTGCAGTGTTGCCGGTTGACCCTGGACCCTTTGTTAGGGAATCGTGCGCACTAATATATTGCCTGGTGAACCGGCAGGGTGCTATACAGGTCCAGGGCCGTGGTCCTCTGCCGGAGAATTGAGTCCCTCAAGGCCTTTTATTGCAAAGGTAGCTGTGATGTGTGAATATTACACCCCTAGTGGATCCTTTCCCACGGTTTTCATCGCCCAGGGGACTGATACCTGGACCCCGCGCAGGAAGACATGGGGACGCCCTGTAATGTTGGTTATCACCAGATAATGGGTTCTGGAACTCTGCACAATTCCGTATTACCTGCTGAATCTGGTAGTGTTCTTTACAGGTCCAGGGCTGCAATACCAGCTGAGGAATCAAGTCCCTGTAGGCCCTTTGTGGCAATGCCCACAGTGATGGGTGGAGGATAGGGGGACCTGCCCCTGGACTGGTAAGTGTCCTGTAGTTGCCCTGCTGGGACACCCTTCTTGCCAGGTACCCCCACACAGCAGGAAGATAAAAGGTGATGGCCCTTCTTCATGGAATGAGGTAAGTATTGGGACTCGTACAAGATGGCAGCATATAGTTGGGGCCCGAGTGGCCTATACCAGCCAGCAGCATAAGGGCCCTTACTGGAAAGTATGGCAGACTTTTGGTGAAGTTGGGTAACGTGGCTCTTGAGTTCTGGTATCGGTGGTCGGCAGGCTTGTATTTGTATAGAGATGTATTTCAGCCACGTGTTTTGTTTTTTGTCAGGATTTCCACTTCTAAGAGCTGTAGTTCGCTTATTTACGGTTTTATTTATTTTTTTCTCTGCGTATCTCAGACCTGTCCACCATGGAGGAGAGAATCCGCACTCGATACTACAAGAAACTGACCGAGTTTGTGGCTGACATGACCAAAATATTTGACAATTGCCGCTACTACAACTCCAGCGAGTCGCTATTCTGCAAGAGCGCAGACGCCCTGGAGAAGTTCTTTGTACAGAAGCTGAAAGCGTTTAAAGCCAGCAGGTGAGCGATGCCCCGCCCCCTTCTCTATGACATCATCTTCTGACCAGCTCACGGGTCATGTAGGGTATTTGTCAAGGAGTCTTCCATCAGCATATATATATATGTGTATGTGTGTGTGTGTGTGTGTGTATATATATATATATGTGTGTGTGTGTGTATATATATATATATATATGTGTGTGTGTGTATATATATATATATATGTGTGTGTGTGTGTGTGTATATATATATATATATATATGTGTGTGTGTGTGTGTGTGTATATATATATATATATATATGTGTGTGTGTGTGTGTGTGTGTGTGTGTGTGTGTATATATGTGTGTGTATATATATATATATGTGTGTATGTATGTATGTATGTATGTATGTATGTGTGTATGTATGTGTGTGTGTGTGTGTGTGTGTGTGTGTGTGTATATATATATATGTGTATATATATAATATAAAATTTCAGTATATATACGTTGCCATTTGTAAATGCTATAACATTCACGTAAACCAATGAATACATATATACAAATAATAAATTTATACGTATTGGGATTTTTTTTTATCAAAGACATGAAGCAGAATACATTTTGGTCTAAATTTATGAATAAATTTGATTTTTAATATTTTTTTTTTACTGGATGTGTTTTATAGCAAATAGTCCAAAGTATTGTTTTTTTGGAGGGGGTTTTTGTCAGTTTTTTTTCGTTTGTAGTGCAAAAATGAAAAACCGCAAAGGCGATTAAATACCACCAAAAGAAAGCTCTATTTGTGGGGAAAAAAGGGACATAAATGTAATTTATGTACAGCGTTGCATGACCGCACAATTATCAGTTAAAGTAACGCAGCGCCTTGTCACAAACAATGGCCGGGTCAGGAAGGGGGGAAATCCTCTGCAGGGCAAGTGGTTAAGCTGTCAATTAATGATTGGTAGCTGATGGGACTAGCTCCTGATCATGTGACCACTGGCTGTCACAGCAGTCACATGATGGGGAGCTGGCTCCACATGAATACTAGAGACTGAAAGCTGGTATGACAGATCAGTCCCTGTGCTGAGCACATAGTTGCTCTCAGTACAGAAACGTTGACCATCAATGTATATGTGCTGCATGTGGGAGTTAAAGCCCGCCCTCATTGCCACCCCACATATACAGTGGATAGAAAAAGTCTGCACACCCCTGGTAAAATGTCAGGTTTCTGTGATTTAAAATAAAATGGTGACAAAGATAAATCATTTCAGAACTTTTTCCATTTTAATGTAACTTATAAACTGTACAACTCAGCTGAACAACAAACTGAAATCTATTAGGTGGAGAGGAAGTATAAAAAAACTAAAATAATCTGGTTGCATAAGTGTGCACACCCTTACACTACCCCTTTGTTGAAGCACCTTTTTGATTTGATTCCAGCACTCAGTGTTTTTGGGTTGGAATCTATCAGCACGGTACATCTTGATTTTCCCGCTCTTCCTTGCAAAAACACTCCAAATCTGTGAGATTGCGTGTCATCTCCTGTGCACAGCCCTCTTCAGATCACCCCACAGATTTTCCATCTGATTCAGGTCTGGGCTCTGGCTGGGCCATTCCAAAACGTTCCTCTTCTTCTGGTGAAGCCATTCCTTTGTGGATTTGGATGGATGCTTTGGGTGGTTGTCATGCTGAAAGATGAAGTTCCTCTTCCTGTTCAGCATTCTAGCAGAAGCCGGAAGATTTTGTGCCAATATTGACTGGTATTTGGAACAGTTCATAATTCTCTCTCTACGTTGACTAAGGCCCCAGTTCCACCTGAAGACTAGCAGCCCCAAAGCATGATGCTGCCACCACCATGCTTCACAGTGGGTATGGTGTTCTTTTGGTGATGTGTAGTGTTGTTTTTGTGCCAAACATATCTTTTAGAATTATGGCCAAAAAGTCCATCCTTGGTTTCATCCGACCAGAACACATTTCCCACATGCTTCTGGGAGACTTCAGATGTGTTTTTGTAGAATGTAGCCAGGCTTGGATGTTTTTCTTCATACGGGAAGTCTTCCGTCTTCCACTCCCCCCCATAACCCAGATATATGAAGAATACAGGAGATTGTTGTCACATGGACCACACAGCCAGGACTTGCCAGATATTCCTGCAGCTCCTTTCATGTTGCTGTAGGCCACTTGGCCACCTCCCAGACCAGTTTTCTTCTCGTCTTTTCCTCCATTTTTGAGGGACGTCCAGTTCTTGGTGATGTCACTGTTGGTGATGTCGCTGTTGGTGATGTCACTGTTGCACCATATTTTCTCCACTTGATGATAACGGTCTTCACCGTGTTCCATTGTACATCTAATGCCTTGGAAATTCTTTTGTCCCCTTCTCCTGACTGATACCTTTTAACAATGAGATCCCTCTAATACTTTGGAAGCTCTCTGTGGACCATGGCTTTGCTGTTGGATGCGACTAAGAAAATGTCATGAAAGACCGACTAGAATAGCTGAACTTTATTTGGGGTTAATTAGAGGCACTTTAAATGATGGCGGGAGTGTATTGACTCCTATATAACATGATTTGGATGTGATTGCTTAATTCTGAACACAGCGACATCCCCAAATATAAGAGGGTGTGCACACTTATGCAACCACATTATTTTAGTTTTTTATTTTCAGTTTGTTTTTCAATTGAGTTGTACAGTTTATAGGTCACATTAAAGGTTGAAAAAGTTCTGAAATTATTTATCTTTGTCTCATTTTTTTACATCACAGAAACCTGACATTTTACCCGGGGGGGTGTGAAGACTTTGTATATCCACTGTATGTTATGTTTGTGGCAACAGGTTAATGTGAAAAAAAAGTATAGATATAGAATTCAGAAATTCATGACCTGAATACGATGGTTTTACAACTTTACTGTCTTTCACGATAATGCATCTGCCTGAGGAAGTGTCCTAGCATGGTGTTCTGCACCAGTCGGTGTCCAATTTATGTTCCATTTCCAGTGGCGGCTCAGACCTACCTGCACGCCGCTGGTTGCATGCTGCACTCAGTCACGGAACACTTCTTTCTTCTCTTACAGATTGTGATTCTTGTAGCCCTGGATGTCGGATGTTGTCTCCATCAGCTTGTTTTTGTTTTACGGCACCAACAAACCCGCCTCCTCCTCCCCCCCCTCCCGCCATCTCTCCACCACGCATGGTCACCCATTTGCATGGCCGGAAGGTCACGTGATCCCATACTGTACCTTGGATGCTGGGCCCAAGTGCCTGACACTGCTGTTTTATGTCCGATTCCACCATCGGCAGTCCTTGTACTATATAGTATATATTTTTGTACATAGATGGTGAACATTTGAGACTGTTTGTGAATATCAATTATTGGCAGACGTTGATGTGTAGAATGTTTTCATCAAATATATATATATTTTTTTTTTTTATGATCTGATCACTAAGTACATCAAAGTTCACATTGGTTTACTCATGATGTTTACAGTTGTTTCCGAATTCCTGCGTTCTGTTGAGCAATCATTAAATTCATCTCCATGTCATGGCATCCTCCATGCAGTTGTGTTTCTATCGCCTGACAGATGTAACCGCTACAATCCTGACATTTACAGGTCTCACAGCAACAAACTCTAGTCGGTCCCTTACCTGTCGGTGACAGACGGAGCTGCGCACCCTCTGCTTGGGTGGGAGAGAGAGAAACAGGACTCGAGCCTTGAACTCTATGCCTCCTCAGTCTATTAGGATCGAAGAATTAATTTGTCCAAAGGACAAGAAGCGGAAGAGAGACGGGCCGGGGTGGGTTTTGCCGGTTTTCTAGCACCGACTGAAGTCTTTGCGGCACAAGCAGGAAGAGGCCGGGCAGGAAATTAATTTTTTTTTTTTTTTTTGGATGGCGGGCTTTTGGATTCAGCGATGGAGTGGTCGAGAGCTCCATGGATCATGACGACGCATGTTCTTCAATGAAGAAGCTGGTTTAAAAATCCTCACAGATTTCTTTGTATTTATTTATTGTTCAGAGACACTTTTTTATCGCTACTCTCATTTGTCGACTAATTATTTTTTCTTATTAAAATATAAAAAAAAAAAAAAGAAAATTTGTTTCTAAAACGAAAAAAAAAAAATGTAAAAAAAAAAAGACGAGAGAAGGGAGGAGGCTGATTGGGCCCGATCCAATACATTTGTCCTGTATTTTAACACAATTCCTGTAATAAAACAAAGATAATAAAGAACAAGTCTTTTCTTTCTATGAAAGGAGTTTCTACCTTCCCCCAATCAGTGGAGATTCAGCGGAGTTTCTTGTTCATGGTACAGATTGAGGGTGACAACTAATAAAGGAAATGACAAGGAATTAGGGAACCAAACTGTTGTGCGCTCCAGACCAGCTCTCGGCGTCCTGTCTCAAGGTATCTTGTTTGTACACATTTGTCAGAATTCAATTTTTTTTTTTCCTTTTGTATGTAAAACTGAAAATATGGATGTATATGACACAATAAATGGAGATGATCTTCTCCCTAGAGATCTGTTAATTACGTGTCACTAATTTTAAGAGCATATGGCATTGTTTACTGTTTGTGAATGTTCAATAGTATGTAAATAAGGGGGAGGAGCAAGAAGGATGGTTTCTGGTGCTATAGGTCAATGAGTGGGAGGGGACTTATTTGTTACACTATGCAAATGAGGAGACTGATGGGTGGGGGCGTGGGGATAGATTCAAGTATAGTGAATGGAGGAAAGAGTTCTATCTACTTACCTTATGGATGTGTATAAAGTGAAGGAGAGAGAGAGGAGATGGAGGGAAAGAGAGATGGAGATGGGATAGACTCATGACATAGAGGGGATAGAAAGAGGGAGAGAGAGAGAAAAATGGGTAGAGACAAAGAGATAGAGGTGGATACCGAAAGGATGTAGGAGGAGAGAGGATATGTGTTAGGGGGAGGGAGAGAGAGACGATATATATATTATATACACACACTATTGCCCCAAGTATTGGGCTGCCGGCCTTCCCACACACATGACCTTTAATGGCCCCCCGGTCTTAGTCCATAGGGTTCAATATTGAGTTGGCCCCGCCCTATCCACCACATGACCTTTAATGGCCCCCCAGTCTTAGTCCGTAGGGGTCAATATTGAGTTGGCCCCGCCCTTTCCACACACATGACCTTTAATGGCCCCCCCAGTCTTAGTCCGTAGGGTTCAATATTGAGTTGGCCCCGCCCTTTGCAGCTATAACAGCTTCACTCTTCTGGGAAGGCCGTCCACAAGGTTTAGGAGGGTGTCTATGGGAAGGTTGGACCATTCTTCCAGAAGCACATTTGTCAGGTCAGGCACTGATGTCGGGGGAGGAGGCCTGGCTCGCAGTCTCCGCTCTAATTCATCCCAAAGGTGTTCTATGGGGTTGAGGTCAGGACTCTGTGCAGGACAGTCAAGTTCCTCCACCCCAAACTGGCTCCTACATGTCTTTATGGACCTTGCTTTGTGCACTGGTGGACAGTCATGTTGGAACAGGAAGGGGCCATCCCCAAACTCTACCCACAAAGTTGGGAGCAAGAAATTGTCCAAAATGTCGCCTTAAGAGTTCCCATCACTGGAACTAGGGGGCCAAGCCCAACCCCTGAAAAACACCCCCACACCATAATCCCCCCTCCACCAAACTTTACACTTGGCACAATGCAGTCAGGCAAGTACCGTTCTCCTGGCAACCGCCAAACCCAGACACGTCCATTGGATTGCCAGACTGAGAAGCGCGATTGGTCCCTCCAGAGAACACGCCTCCCCTGCTCTGGAGTCCAGTGGTGGCGGGGCTTTACACCACGGCATCCACGCTTTGCATTGCACTTGGTGATGGAAGGCTTGGATGCAGCTGCTCGGCCATGGAAACCCATTCCATGAAGCTCTCTACGCACTGTTGTTGGGCTCATCTGAAGGCCACACCAAGTTTGGAGGTCTTTAGCTATTGACTCTGCAGACAGTTGGCGACTTCTGCGCACTGTGCGCTTCAGCATGCGCTGATCCCCCCCTGTCATGTGACGTGGCCTACCACTTGGTGGCTGAGTGGCTGTTGTTCCCAGCTGCTTCCACTTTGTTATAATCCCACTAACAGTTGAGCGTGGAATATTTAGTAGCCAGGAAATGTCACGGATGGACTTATTGCCCAGGTGGCCACCTATCACAGGACCACGCTTGGAGTCACTGAGCTCCTGAGAGCGACCCATTCTTTCCACGACAAAAAAATGAATCACTCTATTTGTCTTCAGAACGGGAGGAGAGAGGTGTGTGAGAAATTCCTTTCACTTCCTGTTGTGTTTGCAGGACAAGAAGTTGATGAGAATTTCCAGAATGGGATAAAGATGGTAAATATAAATGACAGAACCTTTCACCCTTCCTAGATGCAGTGAGATATATACATACAGAGTATATGTGTGGACAAGGAATGAATTTGTAAAAAATACCTTGTTTATGATCTTTCAGTCACAGATTTGTAAATCTTAAATATGATAGATTTAATTTAGAAGAACAATATTCCAGTTATAGGTAATACACAATCTAATCACAGGGCTGGAATGGGAAGAATGACATTCTACATAAAGTGTGGACAGAATAGTTAATGCTTTGGATTCGTAGGAAAGAAGTTCAGTACATTTGTATCAAAGCCGCTTTCCAGTCCGTGACTTTGTGAGGATCCTCATGGCAGCCGCTACAGCGACGTGTGGAATGGCCGTGTGTACGTTGGATCGGTTTGTTGTCCCGCTGTACTAATGGGCGGATTCTCCTGTTCGAGGCGTAAATGTCGCAGCGTGTCCATATCATTTACACTTCGCATGCGCGGCCGCCAGCACCTTGCGATCCTTTTTCCGATTATATTTGCGCACAAAACTGCTGCTTGTCACGAGCCCGTCTCCAGCTCTCAACTGTCCGCTGACCGTCCTTTGTATCGAAGGCGGTAACTCCATTCGCTTGTGGAAAATTCGCCCCATTATAATGTACCGGTCCCCTGAGCACAACAGAAACATTGTCATTGAACATTTAAAAGAAGTGATACAAATGTGCAAAACACGTCCTAAGCCCGGCTTTCACACTAGAGGAAGTTTCAAGTGACTTCTGACTTTCTGGCAACGTGAAGTCGCAGGAGAAGAGACAACACAGATGTAAATGGCCGCTGTCCAATGCTCCATCATAACACGCTGTTATCTCAGGTCCTGCAGCCAAGCTGTCCAGCAAATCTACTGACCTCCAGACAACAATCTCTGACAATGGTTGAGTGCTTTGCCCACGTTCCATCGGGACCATTGCTCTTCTATCTCCCTACAGGCTTACAATTTCTATTGCTTTGCAATCTTGACCGAAACAAATGATTTCCAGAAACTATCTTTAATTCTCTCTAAAGTGTAACGTTTCCCAGAATATTATTTATTTCAGGTACTTATATAACGCCGTCAATTTACGCAGCGCTTTACATATATATTGTACATTCACATCAGTCCCCGCCCTCCGAGGAGCATACAATCGAAGGTCCCTAACTCACATTCATACATACACATACTAGAGACAATTTAGACAGGAGCCAATTCACCTACCAGCATGTCTTTGGAGTGTGGGAGGAAACCAGAGTACCCGGAGGAAACCCTGGCAGGCACAGGGAGAACATGCAAACTCCAGGCAGGTGGTGCTGTGGTTGGGATTCGAACCAACGACCCGAGTACTGCCAGGGGGAAGTGCTAACCATTTAGCCACTGTGCTGCCCCACAGAGTAGAGCTCAGCCCCCTCCATTTTAGTAGGTTTGCATAGCTGGCCTTTCAACTGTGTCTGTGGTCACCTGGTCAGTCACTGAAGCAAAGCATTGTGGGGCTTGCATCCTGATAGGGCAAAGGCAGTATATCCTTTGACACACCATGTAAGAATGAATAAATAAGTGTTACAATTGGCCTGCTTTGGAAAGTTGGCTTTCTTCTCTACCACTAATAAAGTTAATAGCGCAGCAGTGGCTTCCATAAACTGCCGCCCCCGTACACACTTTTCAAGCAAAGGGTCTCATGGCCTAGTATGATGATATCATGGATCATTCAATGGTTGTAATGGTTGGAGGCACCCTGGACAGCATGTATTGGTGTGTAGGCACCAGCTAGCACAGTACACCACAGAGCCAAGGCTGCAGTGATGCCAAACCCCCAGGGGGAGTGTCCATGACAGCCCTGTGTTCACAGGAAGGGGGTGTAATGACTTCATTCTGCCTAGATCCTCCACAGGTGAGACATGGCTCTGTGAATTTGGGGATGGTCTAGACAAGGAGCTTCCAAGATGGCTTTGCATGCGGTCCAATACAAAATTGTAAACTTGTGGCAGTTCATGATTGGATGAATGCCGTGTTTGGTATTGCCTCTGTCGCTGTGGCTGGCATGAACAAGCAAGGGCCCAGGAACACGGGGAGGGATGACATGTTTTCAGCACATGCAGGGACTTCTGCTTTCTAGCATTAGCCAAGTAAGTGCTGCATGACCAGATCTATGGGGGCTCTTTGGGTGATCTGCACCCCCCCCAGGTCCGCATTGCATATTTTATAAATATTTGTGGGCTGGATAGAAACTCTCACCAGACTTCCCCTCCTCCCTTCTATAAAGTGCCCATCCAAGACCTCCTTACATCAGAGTCTCCATCAAAGTCTCCCCTTACATCAAATTCCTCTTTACATTAGTGTCCTCATCTGGGTCCTCTTCCAATACCCACCTTGCATCATGGTACCCAACAATGTCCCCCCTTATATCCGTGTCCCTATCAGAGTCTCCCCATACATCAGTGTAGTCATTAGAGTCCCCCTTTACCACTGTAAATATGGCTGTAGAAACAGGACAGGTGCCTGGAGGTGCAGCAAGTCTGGACAGTGGAGTCCTGTGAATGCTGGGGCAAGCTTATTATTGGTTGTTCGGACACTGGCATGAATAGGGACAAAGACAATCTGGGCTGCTTTTCTCATCAAATAGGTGCAGGAATCCCCCCCTTCTGAGTCTCTTCTTGTCTCTGCCCCCAATTCCAACCTCTGAGCGCCGTCTCTTGGTCCCATCCCCTACCCACCTCCCAGTACCATCCTTTTAGAGAATACAGAGCCAAGTATCATTTTGTGGTGAATTTGTTAATGATAATAAGGAAAGCAGTAAAGTAGATCCCCTGCAGCCAGCAATAGAACCCCCCCCCCCCAGCAACAGTGGACCCCTGCAACAAAATACCACCCCAGCAACAATAGACTCCCATCAGCAACAACAGATCTCCCATCAGCCAGCAACATTGGACCCTTCCCTTAGCAGTAGATCCCTTCCAGGAACAATAGACCAACCTGAAAAATAGATCCCCCAGCAGCCAGCATCAATTGACCATTCAGCACCCCTTGCCCTTACATACATTCAGTGCTGGAGGTGCTGGTACTGCGTTCCCCCTGCTTTCCGGCTGAAAAAATCCCTGGTGACAACTAAGCCAGATGGATCCTGAGCCCAACACTGCAGGGGCATTGAGGAGGGTTATGAAGCTGAGATCCTAAGCAGCCTCTGCTGACCATAGTCCTCAGTCTGTGCACATTGAGGATACCCTGCTCACCCTTGGTTGAGGTTGCAGGCCGTAGATTGGAGACCCCCTAGTACTATACACAAAATTGTCTTAGATACGTATGAAAATCATTAAAGTAAAAAAAAAAAAGATCTTTAGCTAGTTTTTATAGTAAATAATCTGATGTACAAAGCTATAGGCAAGATTGGACAGGGCAATGAGGTATTTGTAGGATATTCTCACCAAGTTTGAAGTCCAGACATGACTTGGGGCAGTTTAAATGGTCCACAGCCAAGACTTTGACCCTGAAGAAGAAGCCATCAGGTGTTATATAGAGACGATTGATCTTGTATAAGCCACCGCTGTTCACCAGTATGGTCAGGAGCTGAATCCCTTTACCAAGAGTGTCCACGTCATGTACAATCCCATTCACCGCTGTGAGAAGAGAGGGCACACACTTACCAGCCTGTATGATCTGTGACCACTAATCCTCCATGAACTCTGAGGGTATCTCAGCAACATCTAAGTCTACTTACCAAAGTCACTGTTACAATAGGCCTCCCTTTCCTCTCTGTTTTTGTGGCAGTCCAACTGGCAGCTTCTTTCCTTGCTTTCGAATTCTACAAAGTAAACCCAATCATTTATTAAGAAGCATCAATGGCAGAGGTATGGAAAGTTTGTCATTCAGAGAAGAAAAATCAGGTACCTTATATGGCCTAAATTTTGTGGACCGCTGACCCCCCCATACACACACACGCCAATATCATCTTGTTGAACATCCTATTTCAGGTCATGACTTTTAATATAGAGTCACCCTTCCTCCCTACGGACATTTCCCCCTTCCCATCTTCTGGCTATGACACCCTCAACTTTACTGGAAAGACTTTCCACCCACTTATGAGGTTAATTGTTCTGGATGAGATTTTCTGGCTTGCAATTGGCATTCATCTCAAAAATGTTCAGTTGGGTTTAGGTAAGGGACACTCCCGATCTTCCACACCAAACTGGTCAAACCATGTCTCTATGGAGCTGTGTGTATACATAGGGCATATTCTACAATCTACATTGTCTACAATGTCTTTGTATGATGTAGGATTATCAGGGCCCTTCACTGTAGACACCTGAACTTAATATGGAGGGGGGTTTACGTAATCTAGGCCATGTAGTGTATTAATATGCCAGCCGAGTCAGTTCTCTATGCGGTAGCAGAGTAATATGAATCCAATGCTCACACGTAGCATAGCAAGATGAAGGTACCTTTCCGGAAGCCATGAAATTGGTAGAGTAGGCTGGAAGGTTGGCGGTTGGTCATCCAGGCTGGCTTGCTGGAGTTATATGAAAGTTCTACGAGTTTCTGAAGATTAATCTTGCCCGGACGATTATTTTCATGGTCCTGTAACTCATTGACCTTCCCGCTGCTCTGCTCTTCTGTTGAGATGGATTTTGAAGTATGAAGATTAGTGGAGGCAAATACCGAATCGAGAAGGTTCCTGTCTTGGAGAGGTTTGTGGGTGTCCGTGAATCCATTCACCAAAGAACGAGCAGGTAAGGCATTGGTTGGGAGTCTGTTACTGTGGTCAGCACTGCTTTTCCTCAGTCCCGTGTTGTTGTCCACAGCCAGTTTGGCCTTGGCCCTCTTATCTGGAGGGATCGTGGCCTTCTTCCTACCCCCGGGTGTTAAGGGACGGATTGCAGACAGTTCTTGGTTAGGGAATCTTTGTAGAGAGATTGTCCATGGAATGTCCATCTGATCCTCTGCTTGACTCCTAGATGGGTTCCTTTCCAGGTTCTGCGTTAAGTTCTGCCACTCACCTGTAATTGATAAAAACAGTGGAAAAATGTTTTTCTGTATTTATGGGGCGGATGTACCGTGTGCTGCTACTTTAGTTCATGGGATCAAGGCAAGGAGCATGAAGAGCACCACCATAGTAGTGGTGTTATTACAGTAGGGTGCTTGGATTGGTGTGTGGCTTGTGCGTTGATTTTCAAATGTATGCAACTGTGACCTTTATAAAAATACAAACACATTTGAATATGGTCCCATTTGATTTGAATTTTGTCACTTTTCATTTGAATTGGGTCCCATTTGATCTGTTCGATTTGACTTGGGTCCCCTTGGACTTAAATTGGGTCCCCTTTGCAGGGCCTTCTTAATGTAGGGGCACACCTAGGCACTGCCCAGTTGTCCCAGGTGCATGGAGGCCCCATGGTCAGGGCCAGGGAAAGGGGGGAACTGTGTTGGGGACGGGGGGGGGGTGTTCCACTGGCGATTTGGCTGCTCGTGCTGCTCCTCGTTGACAGGAGTAACTGCAGTGTCACTCCTGTCAGAGGAGGAGCAGCCTTCATCAGGTGGCAACATTATTTGTGAGTACAATTTGGAAGGGGAGGGCACAACTCTGATGGTTGGGGACACTGATGGGAGACCTGATGTATAGGTGTGGTGATGGGGTCCCCTTGGATTTTTTTTAGGGTTCTCTTTGATTTGAATTGGGCCCCCTTGGATTTTATTAGGGTTCCTTTTGGTTTTAATTGGATCCCTTTGGATTTTATTAGGGTTCCTATTGGTTTGAATTGGGTGCCCTTGGATTTTTTTTTTTGGGTTCCCCTTGGTTTGAATGGGATGCCCTTGAATTTAGCCCCCTTTGACTTGATTTGGATGTGTGCTGATTTTCAAATATATTCACTTGTGACCTTCTCTATTAAAAAGATGCACGTTTGAATTGGGCCCCCTTGGGCTGGTATGTGGCTTGTATTTTAATTTGCACATTTATGCAACTTTGCACTTCCCTATTAAAAAGATGCAAATTTGAATTGGGTCCCCTTTGATTTTAATTGGGTCCCCTTTGATTTGACTTGGGTCCCCTTTGATTTGACTTGGGTCCCCTTTGGTTTGGAATGGATCCCCTTTGATTTGAATTGGGTCCCCTTTGATTTGACTTGGGTCCCCTTTTGGTTTGGAATGGATCCCCTTTTATTTGAATTGGGTCCCCTTTGATTTGACTTGGGTCCCCTTTGATTTGACTTGGGTCCCCTTTAATTTGAATTGGATTCCCTTTATTTGAATTGGATTCCCTTTGATTTGAATTAGGTCCCCTTTGATTTGAATTGGATCCCCTTTGATTTGAATTGGGTCCTCTTTGATTTGAATTAGGTCCCCTTTGATTTGAATTGGGTCCCCTTTGATTTGAATTGGATCATCTTTGATTTGAATTGGGTCCCCTTTGATTTGAATTGGGTCCCCTTTGCTGGGAGGGAGAAGGACTAGTCTTACGGGGGAGGGGGGAGATTTCCTCTATCTTCCTGTTGTGTCTCTGAGACAGGAAGCGAGGGGAAATCTCCTCATTGGTACACGATTTTACCCTTACTCGGCCCAAAACTGAAGAGAAAGGTTCTGGTTCTCCTTCGGCTCTCTTGTTTGGCCCCAATGGTGGAATTGTCAGATTTGGGTTTCTGCTGAGCCCCGGCTCTGTACACTTGGCAGTCGGTGGGGGTTCTGGGCTTCCCCCCTGCTGTGACCCGGGAGTGGTAGGCAGCCCCTCTCAGTTACCAGGCAGATTGGTAATTATTTGCCATCGTGAAGAATCTGCGGGTTGGAGGGTCGGCTATTGTCTGCCGTGTTTAGGAGATTTCATGGCTCTCTGAATGGCCCCCGGAGACAGAGCGCACATTCAGCCGCCTGAATAGGAGCGCCATGGAAAGTACACACCATAAATGATGGATTGTCCCCCCCACCCCTCCACCCCCATGTGTACAGTTCTGATTTGCTGACACCCAGCAGCGAAATACCTTCAATGGGGTCAGTGGGTCTGATTGTACCAATGCTTAAAGGTGCCGGACAAAATGTTCAGAACCAGCAGAGTCCCCCGTGGGGGGGGGGGGGTCAGGTGATGGCAACCGGACAACCCTGTGTACAGGTCACATAGGTTTCCTGCAGAACATCGCTCCATCCCATCCCCCTCCTGACAGATCCATATTGATATATTCTGCAGATTATTCCATCACTGACCTCTCTAAAGATCTGCAGAACATCGCTCCATCCCCTCCCCCTCCTGACAGATCCATATTGATATATTCTGCAGATTATTCCATCACTGACCCCTCTAGAGATCTGCAGAACATCGCTCCATCCCCTCCCCCTCCTGACAGATCCATATTGATATATTCTGCAGATTATTCCATCACTGACCCCTCTAGAGATCTGCAGAACATCGCTCCATCCCCTCCCCCTCCTGACAGATCCATATTGATATATTCTGCAGATTATTCCATCACTGACCCCTCTAGAGATCTGCAGAACATCGCTCCATCCCATCCCCCTCCTGACAGACCCACATTTATATAGTCTGCATATTATTCCATCACTGACCCCTCTAGAGCTCTGCAGAACATCGCTCCTCCCATCCCCCTCCTGACAGATCTATTTTGGTATATTCTGCAGATTATTCCACCACTGACCCCTCTAGAGATCTGCAGAACATTGCTCCCTCCCATCCCCCTCCACACAGATCCATATTGGTATATTCTGCAGATTATCCCACCACTGACCTCTCTATAGATCTGCAGAACATCGCTCCGTCCCCTCCCCCTCCTGACAGATCCATATTGATATATTCTGCAGATTATCCCATCACTGACCCCTCTAGAGATCTGCAGAACATCGCTCCATCCCCTCCCCCTCCTGACAGATCCATATTGATATATTCTGCAGATTATTCCATCACTGACCCCTCTAGAGATCTGCAGAACATCGCTCCATCCCCTCCCCCTCCTGACAGATCCATATTGATATATTCTGCAGATTATTCCATCACTGACCCCTCTAGAGATCTGCAGAACATCGCTCCATCCCATCCCCCTCCTGACAGACCCACATTTATATAGTCTGCATATTATTCCATCACTGACCCCTCTAGAGATCTGCAGAACATCGCTCCTCCCATCCCCCTCCTGACAGATCTATTTTGGTATATTCTGCAGATTATTCCACCACTGACCCCTCTAGAGATCTGCAGAACATTGCTCCCTCCCATCCCCCTCCACACAGATCCATATTGGTATATTCTGCAGATTATCCCACCACTGACCTCTCTATAGATCTGCAGAACATCGCTCCGTCCCCTCCCCCTCCTGACAGATCCATATTGATATATTCTGCAGATTATCCCATCACTGACCCCTCTAGAGATCTGCAGAACATCGCTCCCTCCCATCCCCCTCCTGACAGATCCATATTTATATAGTCTGCATGTTATTCCATCACTGACCCCTCTAGAGATCTGCAGAACATCGCTCCCTCCCCTCCTGACATCCATTTTGGTATATTCTGCAGACTATTCATCACTGACCTCTCTAGAGATCTGCAGATCATCGCTCCGTCCCCTCCCCCTCCTGACAGATCCATATTGGTATATTCTGCAGATTATTCCACCACTGACCTCTCTAGAGATCTGCAGAACATCGCTCCTCCCATCCCCCTCCTGACAGATCCATATTGGTATATTCTGCAGATTATCCCACCACTGACCTCTCTAGAGATCTGCAGAACATCGCTCCATCCCCTCCCCCTCCTGACAGATCCATATTGATATATTCTGCAGATTATCCCATCACTGACCCCTCGAGTTCTGCAGAACATTGCTCCTCCCATCCCCCTCCTGACAGATCCATATTGGTATATTCTGCAGATTATTCCATCACTGACCCCTCTAGAGATCTGCAGAACATCGCTTCCTCCCCTCCTGACAGATCCATATTAAGATATTCTGCAGCATCAAGGCTGACCATGCTGGGACTTGTAGTCTTTCTCTCTATTTGTGCCGTGCTGTAACTTCCTGGAACTTGTAGTTCCTCAGCATCAAGGCAGCCAAGAGAAGCAGCTCTGTGCACCCCTAGTGGACAGGTTATAACAATGACAGCAGAGGTTCCAACAAAGACCAATACACTCCCTTTCCTAGCCTCCCATTGGATGAGCGATGACTTCTGATTGGTCGCTTTGCACAGCTGTTCCATTCTTGTACCATTTTCATAAATCTCTTCCCCTGCTGGCCACATGAACACTTCTTCCTGAGTGCCATTGATCCCGCCATGATAGGTACCACCTGCCCTTCCTATGGAACAGACGAGCCCGGCATTAACGCTCGTTCACAACCAATCGCCGGCATCGCGGTGCGTTTATAAAGCGGTGCGTTGTGCCGGCATTTGTTTTTACTGCCAGCGATTGGCTGCAAATCTGAAAGTTGTTTACAATGAAAGGATGAAATCTTTTTTAATCACATTTTTTGCTGTAAATATCAGGGACAGGTTGATGAAATGAGGACAGAAGTGTAGAAGTTAAAGGAGGACTCTGGACACCCGTCTGCTCCCACCTGGGGGGGCTATACAAATATTCTTCTGTGGGGTAGGTGATGTGGGGGGCACTTACCTGCTATGGTGCTGGCCAGGGTGGCGGACAGGACCAGGATGCACAGAGCCCCCGGGGTAGGAGCAGCAGAGGAGAGATCCATGGCCGAGTGTAGCTCCGTCTGTCTGCTGTCCTCCCAGCCTCATGCTAATGAGGGGCGTCCGCGGGGGATCATGAATGAGGAATGAGTGGAGAGGAGGCGCTGAGAGGACACCAACACCCCTCCAATTCTTCTTCACCTCCTTTAATGACCCAAAACCCAGCCCCCTCCCCATTGCCCAATTACCACCCCCCTTCCCTGGGAAATAACAGTTTACATTTCTATGATAATGAGATCGCTCTCCCATGATCCCTGGATGGCTCCTCCGCTGCTGACACCAACCTGCCGGAGATGGACTACAACTGGAGCACAC